AAAAAAAAAAAAAAAAGGAATCTTCAGCCTAGATCACTTTCTTATCCGGACTGGGATATTAAATATACGACACATCCAGGAGTTTATTGGAGCGCAGACTGATGGCGCAAAGGGTAGGTTTAAATCTCCAACACTTACCTAGATATAAATCCTCTCCTAAGAGGGGCCTGTCCCGATGCTTCCTCTCCCTTCAACGCTGCTGCTGTTGCTCGCTGCTGGATGATGGCGGCCAGTATTTTAAAAAATAGCAGCGAAATTATTCATCGGCTTCTTTCCCCCCCGTGCCTCTGCGTGTGTGCGAGTGTGTGTGCGTGCGTGTGTGCGTGTCTGGGCGCGCGTGTTCCAGCGCTGTGCGAGCGGGCGGGCGGCGAGTGCGTGTGAGTGGTGTGTGTGTGTGTGTGTGTGTGTGTCTGCGTGTGCAATTGTTACACGCTTTCGCCTCGCTCCAGCTTTTACCCCAGCAGCGCGATTCCCCCCGGTTCTCCTGCTGCCGCCGCTGCCGCTGCTGCGCCGCTGCTGCCGTTGCTCCCGCGGCTCTGGGCGGGCACCGGCTGTGTAGGAGCCGCCGCCGCCGCCGGGGCCGCCGCTGGGGCCGCGCTGCCGCAGCCGCTGCGCCGCCGCCTAGACTAGCCTGGGCTGCTTGTTTTGTCTCTGAAATTGACAAGGACGCAGGGAATCCGCTGCTAAATAATGTTTCTGGTAACTTTCACGTTATTCCCCCACCCCCACCCTCCGCTCCCTTCCCCCGGGGAGGCACTGGCCCCAGTCTTCCCTCGTCCTCGGCGTTCTCGTCCTGGCTTTTTAGCGTTTTTCTTCTCTTTATTTTGTTTCATTTCGCCTTTTGATTTATTGGATCCTCTGGAGTAGGCGAAGGGGGGTTAGGGGTGGGATCCGGGGCTTCCTCCTCACACTAACTCCACTTCTCCCTCGGTTGGCTCGCTACGGTTCTGCTGCCTCCGGCCCGAGCGGCACCTCCCGGCGCCCCCTCGGTCCCCGGCCTCACCGCCCCCTCTTTCTGCTCTAAACGCAGCTCTCGGTTCAGACTTTTTCATTTTAAAATTTAAAAACATTTTCCCCAACTTTCAATTCCGTTGTTTCGGCTGGTTTGGTTTCTGTGTGTTCAACTCGTGCTCAGTACTTTTCTCCTTTCTGACTTTGTTTTTATTTTTATTCTCTCTCTCTCTCTCTCTCTCTCTCTCTCTCTCTCTCTCTCATTCTTACCCCCCCCTCGCTCATGCCCCCCCTCCTTCTCTCTCATCTTCCGTTCGTCGTTCTCCCTCTCTCTCATCTCTATCCCTTTCCCACTTCTCTCCTTGCTCTCTTTTCCCTGCTTCTTTTTCTGTTCCCTCTCGGCTTTCCTCGCTCTCTCTCACCTCCTGCGCTCCCCTCCCCTTTGCTGGGTTCTGACAGTACGATGAGCTGCCCCATTACGGCGGGATGGACGGAGTAGGGGTGCCTGCTTCCATGTACGGAGACCCTCACGCGCCGCGGCCGATCCCCCCGGTTCACCACCTGAACCACGGGCCGCCGCTCCACGCCACGCAGCACTACGGAGCGCATGCCCCGCACCCCAATGTCATGCCGGCTAGCATGGGATCCGCTGTCAACGATGCCTTGAAGCGGGACAAGGACGCGATCTATGGGTAAACCAACCCCCCCATTCCGACCCAGCATACTGTGTGTGAGTGTGTGTTTGTCTCTGTGGGGGTTAGGGGGGTGGACGGCTACGTGGGAAGTTACTAATGCTTGGCGGGTCGGGGTGGGTGGGGGGCGCTTGCCTTTGGAAAGGACAGTGAAGGGGGCCTGCTCTTCTGCCCCTTGAGTGTAAGTTTCTGGAAGGTATGACTTTCTCCACCCCCTCGGCCAGGGCACTCTGGACCCCACAGCCCGGAGTGACTGAGTCCTCAGAAACTTGCCAGGGCCTTCTCCCCAAGGACGGCATTCTTGGCTACAGGACGCAAAGCTGGTCCTTCCAGGCCCCCTAACAGAGGCCTTGACGAAGGAGAAAGTTTCCTGCCGATGAGGAGCAACTTTTTTCTCTCTCTCTCTCTGGTGTTTCCTACCGAGAGTCTTGGGAGTCACTAAATGCAGCTTGAGCTGGGATCGAGACTGCTTCTGTTGGCCAGGAAGTCCTAATCACCCACTTCTTAATTCTCTGTAAATAAAGGGGGCAGACCTTGAAGTGCAGCGGGGTGGAAGCGACTGCTGCTTGCATAGAACCGCTCTTGGGGGGAGTAAGGGAGCTGGCTGGAAATTATTTTATATCCTGGGACAACTCCTGGAGGCATGGGGCCGCACGGTCCCAGCGTGTACCACTCGGGCTCTCCCAGATGAGGGTAGGTGGGGAAGCCTGCGGGATGCAGAGGGGAGGGGACAGTCCGTCAACAGCCACTGAGTCTGAAACCAGAGGCCGCAGGCATCCCGAAGTGTAGTTAAACCGCCCGGAGGAACACAAAGGGCAGACGCGCACGCACACATCCAAGTTTTTAACACTCGATTTATTTTTTGCCTGCTGGAGAAATGTATCTTTGGAAGGAAGCTCTTAGGCGTGGAAGATCCTTATTATTTTGGCCCCCACGCCGGCCTGGGCTTTACTAGAAGTAGAGCAAACAAGTTTATAAGTCAAAGGGGTGGAGAGGTTAGAAGAGCACTCTCCGATTTTGGAAGTAGCACCACCGGGTGTGTATGTAGGTGAAGCCTTCGGCCTCCTCCAAAATGCCCATTAAAATGCGGAGTTAAGGTAATTTTTTATTTCACAGAGTGATCCTTCCTTGGGAGGTCAGGGCTGGGTCTCGCGGGTTGGTTCGGCGGCCTCTGTATTGTGGGGAGTGGGTCTGGATCCACTCCAGGCTCCAGACTGCCTGAGCTGTTTGGATGTTTCATGACGTTCCAACTGAGGCTCTTTTTACTTGGCGGGCTAAAGTGGCCAGGGGGCTTCTCCCTGCAGATTCGAGGGACTCCTGAGCTGAGGGAAAGGGCCAGGCCGTTTTTCCTTTCTGTTTCTGGCCCAGGCTCGGCTGGCTGAGGAAGGGTTGTCAAGTGTGATGCGTGCCTGTTGTATTAAAGAAGGAATCCAAACCCTCCAAACTTGTTGATTACAGTTCTTGCTCCTTCCCCTCTGCACCCCGTCTCCGTGTGTGTGTCTCTGCGTGGCGCTGCCCGTTAGGCACCCGTTGTTTCCTCTGTTAGCTCTGGTCTTTGAGAAGTGCGAGCTGGCGACCTGCACTCCCCGGGAACCCGGAGTGGCCGGCGGAGACGTCTGCTCCTCCGACTCCTTCAACGAGGACATCGCAGTTTTCGCCAAGCAGGTCCAACCTTCTTGACCCACTCACCCTTCTGCAGCCCCTCACCCCACCCCCCTCTCCCCTTCCCTTCGAGCTTTACATGAAAGAGGAGGAAAAGGCAGGGACACCCGATCTGTTCCTCCGGCCCAGTCCGCGCTCTACGCCTCCTCCCCATCCCTGAGCCTGGAGGCGAATTGGAAGCGGAGATAAATATGGGTGTTTGTTTTTCCCCCCAGCCAGGAATACAGGGGCTCGACCCTCGAATTAAAATTGACCTGCTCCTAATCTAGGGCTTGGCCTTTTCCCCCGCCTGCAGCTACTTGAACAAGAATTGGGGGAGAGGGGCTGTGAGGGACCCGAGGGTGCCCAGGAGGTAGGAAGCCGGACGCCTCTCCGGGCGGTCCGCGCCGGGCGCGGAGGTGAAGGAGGCTGAGAGATGCGGCCCCTTGGACGGCAGGATAAGGGGGTACCCGGGACCCAGAGCACGACCCTGTATTCCCGACCACAGTTCAGCGGTTCCAGGGACCCCCCCAAAGGGGCCAGTCCCAGAAGGCCCTGAATCTTTTTCAGCTGACCCCACTAATTTCATGCACTGGCTTGTTTCAATTATTTTTACCAAAGCCCTTCTCCTCTTCTCTGCCACTGCCCCCTCCACCATCCCCAATCACACTACAGATTAGTTGGTGACAGGGTTTTTCTTCTTTTAAATGGAGTGTTAATTCATGCTGACTTTCCCCTGCTTCTTATAGGTTCGCGCCGAAAAGCCACTTTTTTCCTCAAATCCAGAGCTAGACAATTTGGTAAGGCTCACTGTTTCTTGCCTTTCCCCCAGCCTGGGCCCCCTCCCTTGCCCAGAAGCTCCCACTTTCTCCCGGAGCTCCGGGGAGTTCGAGCAGGGCCCTCTTTTGGAGCTCCAGTGCGACAGGGAGGAAGGGAGTAGCTTAGAGCCCCCGCCAGGGCTTTGGGAGTGAGGGGCGGGATGGACGTCTGGGAGAGCAGAGACCAGGGAGGCAGCCAGCGGGGACGCAGCGCCGAGCGCGCAAGCAGGGGACGAGCCCCAGGTCTCGGCCCCGGGGGTGAGGCTACGAGAAGTGAGCTATTTCCTCTGTTTGCCGGGGCAGGCGGCGGAGCCCGGGGCAGCTAACCCAAAGGAAGTAAGGAGCGGCGGAGGGCGGGCCGGAGAGGTGGGGGGGTGAGGGGGCAGGTCAGCGCAGGCCACTTTTAGGTGCGATTCTTTTGCTAATTTGCACGATTTCAATATTAAAAGTACCTAAATCCGCTTTCAAAGGCCCTGCCTCACCATTCATCTTGAGTATTTCCTTCTTTAGTGAGGACGGATTTCGCTGGGTGTGCTGTTCTAAAAAGCTTTCTCTCTCCAGAGAAGCGACTTTTTTTTTTTTTTTTTTTAATTTGGCCGGAGGTCGAGGGAGGGGACGGTTAACGAGGGCTCAGGCAGAGAAAGAAGGCCTGGCCCTAAGAAAGCCGTCCTTACAAATAGCTTACTGAACATGAGGGGCAAAGATATTAAATGCTTGGGCTCAGGTTGAGTCGGATTCCTATCCTGTGGCCAATGAGGCAGAGCTGATCAGTAATCACTTGGTTTTTCTGACGATTTCTTTAAGCGTGGGTTTTGCCTGGCCACTTCCCTATTTATTCTTCCCAGCCCAATCCCCTTACCACCCTCACCCCCCAAGTCACAGAGTCGTAACTCCACACTTTAAACTTCTCTTTCAGATGATACAAGCAATACAAGTATTAAGGTTTCATCTTTTGGAGTTAGAAAAGGTAAGCAGGAAATGATAGTCCCGGCTTTGATTTAGACTTCCCAATCTTAGCTGGGTTGGGATGTTTTTAACAAACCTCCAGTCTAAGGGATTGAGCACCTGGAGATTTTGAGCAACGTGTTACCAGTCTTTCCTTCAAATTGCTCCTCAACCCAGGGGCTCAGAGGATGGGTGAATTGGGACAGCGCTGGTTTTTCAAGTACACCACCCCCAATCCCCATTCAGGATTATTTTGAAATGCAGCAAACCATTCGTGTTATTGGACATTCAGCCTGCTTGCGTCTCTATTAGCTGAGCTCACCCTCGGCCCAAAGCGTGCATTAGGTACAAACAGAGGGAATCGTCCTCACTAAGGGTGTCTTTACATTGCTCTGTAGCTCAATCACTTTCCCCTGGAAACATGCAAACCTCCTACCTTATTGAATCGCAAATGCTAATGCTGTTCCCAGTTCCAGTGTTCTAACATTTTGATGTTATCATCAAATCGGATTTTCCTCCCTGAATTCCCAGTCTGAACCCAGTTATTTCCAGTCCTGTTTCGTCCTTCTTTATTGTAACTTGTTGCTCGGGGAAGTCTCTGGAGAATAATATCTGCTGCAACAATTGCTCTATTGTTTCCTCGCCCTCAACTATTACACTCATTAATTAGACTTAGTTTGGAAGACATCTCACTGTTGCTCTTTCCACATGTAACCTTGCAACCTGGTATTTTTTTTTCCTTTAAAAATGAAACAAAACAACAACACTGTGAGCTGAACCCTCTACCATGACGTTCCTTCTAGGTCCACGAACTGTGCGATAACTTCTGCCACCGGTACATTAGCTGTTTGAAGGGGAAGATGCCCATCGACCTCGTCATTGATGAAAGGGACGGCAGCTCCAAGTCAGATCACGAAGAACTTTCAGGCTCCTCTACAAATCTCGCTGACCATGTAAGTCTGTGAGCCTTTGGTATTCTTTTAAGACCGTGGGGCAAAACATTTTTAAAAATTTGTAACATCAAGCTCCACCCAGCTTTCTGTTTAAATGATTTGGTCTCTTTGGGGGTCTTTTTTGTTCTTTTCTCACTACCTCTGACATATTCTTTCTCTCTGTTTCCCCTTTCTTGGATTTTGCCCCACCCCCACCCCCTTATGTATGTTGAGAACAACAAAAAAAAAAACCTGGGAGTTGATAGAGTGACTTGTGCTCTTAATGTGTAAAGTTTCCTGGATTTGGTGACTTGAGTGTTAGCAAATTGTCTGTTTGATATGGTGACCGCCGCCTTTTCTGCTTTCTCAACTCTGTGCAAGGGAAAGAGGAGGCAAGACAGCTAGCTGGACAGGATGGGGAAGAGAGGACTGAAGGGAAAGAGAGAACTGGGGAGGGGGCTGATTTCGCAGGCATTCACAGAGATGACAATCCTGAGAATTATTGGCACTCTTGCATTGCATTAGAAATAAAAGGAGTGAACACTTTACAATTCTCAGAGCTTTTGCTCTATAGAAACTTATTGTCAGAATATGGCTTTATTGCCAAGTGCCTGAAGCATCTTCATAATAAAAGACAGTAACCTTGATGAAACAATTATTAACAATGTATTGCAGAAAGCTGAAGGGAATTGTGATTGAGTAACCATAGGTTAGTGGTTGAATTTTAACACTTTAACAGTTGGTGAAGGAAGACGAAGAGTAGAGTAAGGAGCAACTGTGGATGTCAGGCCAGGAAGGGAGATTTCTCTCTATTCTCTGTTTTTAATCCTATTTTGGAACTGATCTAGTGAGTCTGATGCTTAAAAAAAGCATATGTAGTGAGACTGAACATTTGAAAAAGAAGCAAAGAGAAAAAGGATTGCAGCTGGTAGGGAAGGCAAGAGTGTGGAGGTTAAAGAGTGGGTGTGAACAGCAGTTTATTTATAGGCACCCAAGCCTGGGGGTGGGGGACGGGGTGTCTATAGATTGCATTCAATTGAACTCACAACCTAAATGATATAGGCAGCAGTCTAATAACTTAGTGGCTGAAATATTAATTTAACCCTCTGTGGAGTTATACAGGCATTGAGGCTCGAAGACAGCTTGTATCACCACTGCCACCCCCCATCCCCATTCCTGGGTGTTAAGAGGAACAAATTGAGGTGCCTTGAGAACGAACCTTCTGTGAGGTTCCCCTCCTTCACCCCCACCCCACCCTCAAAAGTTTTGAAAATATGCAGTCACAGATTTTAATTATTAGCCTTTGTTGATGTATGCAAAGCCAGTCTAAGGACAAAAGTTTCAAAAAGAAAAGAAAGGGAAAAGAAAATCTCAGTCCTGGATGTCTAGTTCTGAGACAGAATAAATACTATAGCTTTGAAAGCTCCTGTGCCTGTCTTTACTCTTGTTTTTTCCCAGCAAGATGGGGGTGCGGGGGGGGGGCAACTTCTAGAGCTCTTTTGTGTAATCAGCATATTAGCCAAAATCAAAAGGGTACAGCAACCACTATGGAAAGTTTATTTGCTGATATGTAACTGCCTGATGTGTGATTGTGGCCCAGGAGGCATGACACTACTTTAAAAATGTTTGTTGTTGTTGTTGTTGTTGTTTATTTTCATGGCTTCCTGTTTCTAAATTCATACTCATTTTACACTATTGGGGGAATGGGAAGGAATCTAGTTAAGTAGTTTGTAGAATGAGAGAGAGGCTCACAGTTGCCTACAGCCAAAAAAGCTTTGCTTGTGACATTCCCAGGGGCCTAGACCACTTGGTTTTCTAGAATAGTTTCTTGGCGACTGTTTTTCAAGTGGATGTATAAAACTAGAACATGCTGATGTTTATATAGTAGAGGTAAGATAAACTAGACTGTTTTAGAATATTGGCTGATAGACGATGCCAATTTATGGAACTATTGTAATATTTCAATTACACTCAAGAAGGAAGTTGTACCTAAGGCGATAATGCTTTCATAGCTTAACAATCATCATCTTTGGATAAAAGAGTCAACTGTCATATGTGTTGCTCCTCTTTCAGGCCCCCAGTCAAGTAGATATGACAACTGATTTATTTTGAACCCATGAGGGCTTGCCACCTCATTGGGCATCAACATTTAAAGCCTTTTATTTCCTAGAGACCTGAACTAGAACGTTTTTACTTTCACCCCCTACTATTGGCTTTGAAAGGAAAGAAATCATTTGTTCCACTAGCACACCGAGAGTGAGAAACGGTGAGACTTGCCACCGCCTTGGAGAGTTTTCACCACCTCTGATACTTTTGTACCAGAAGTATATTGATTGTATTCACGTCCAGGCTCCCACTACAAAGCCAAGTCTCTTCATGCTTCAGCCTCTTCTGCAAGCCCACCCTCCCTCAATCCCCCCCAACCCCCCAGCCACAAAAAAATGTGAAAATGCCACAGCACCACTACCTGAAAAGTGGTACAAGTGGGACATTTTCAGCATGTAAATGTGTCCCATTTGAATCTCCAGGTTTACTTTTTCATTTGCTTTGATATGCATATTTAATACATTGCCCCAGGCTGGATCTCATTTGGTGCACGCTGGTGCTGGGGTGATGATGAGCCTCTTCAGAAGGCTCTAGACAGCGTGTTGTTTTCTCTGTTTTATCTGTTGGCCCACTAGTCTGATCTACTTGCGCTTCCTCGTGGTTTTATTTGCACATGAAATGCTGAGAGCATTTCAACTTATTGGCTAGGAATAATGACAGCTAAAAAAGAAGTGTAGTTTAATTTGTTGTGTGCCAAGGTTTCGCTTGTGGAGGTGACAGTTTGTGACAGCTGTTTGACACCCCCAAAACACATACACCTCTATTCTTATTAAGTGGTAGCAAGCTACACTTTGTGTGTGTGTGTGTGTGTGTGTGCGCGTGCGCGCACGTGCACGTGCGTGCGTGTGTGTGTGTGTGTGTGTGTGTGTGTGTGTGTGTTTAAGGAAGGAGCAGGCAAAGAGGGAGTGAAAGAGAGAGAATAAGAGTAAGTATGCAATTCTGTAGTAGAAAGCAGACAGCATCAAGAGGAAACTATTAGGCATCAAAAGAGCTTTCAATTTTCTTATTAAAAATTTTGAAAATAGAAATGAATACATGTAATTGATATAAATATCTTGAAAGCAACTTTTTTGGACAGACTTTTAGGAGTGAGTTTTATACACAATTGCTTAGTAAATCAGGCTGTTATCATGCAGATTTCACATTCCACAATTTTATGTAAATAATCTGATGTAACATAGATACATTAAAAGAAGGCAGCCATAATGTCTTCCCTTCCGTGTTACATTCAGTGAAGATATGGAATTTGTTCATTTATTATTAACACTTACATGATGGGTAGTGATAAGAGGATGTTGGGAATTAAATGGAAAATTCAGTTTGCAACATTGGCTACCATTGCAGTGTGTTTAATAAATTTATAATGAATGCTTATTTTTTAATATTATAGTGTATTTTATGTTATAGTTATCACATAAGAGTAATCATTGTACATAGGAAACAGCTATTACAGTATTCTTTGGAATATCGGGGGAAAAAACTATGATGGTGAAAGGAAATAGAGTTCTATTTTACAGCTGCAGTTCATGTTAAGTTTCCCAGACATTCAAATTTTTCACGTTTAAAATAAACATGTCAAGAAGCCAATTCTTTTTAAACAAAAGTTTCAACTTGAAAACTGTTGTGGAATAGTCATGCTTTTCCTAGCCTGTAGTATTTCGGAATAATAGGCAATATCCACATTATCTACTTTACATAATTTTAGGTCAAGTCTTTAGCTCTTGTGCAGATAAGCAAAATGTATCTTTATATTTACATATAAAGATATTACATATCTTTAGATCAAATTTAGACAAAGAAACATATGTGTTTGAAATCCGTTCTCTGAGCTAAGCTCTATTTGCCTGAAGCGCATACAGTTATATTGCTATTCGTAATTAATGTTCACAAGGACTTACATTTTATTTTTTGGATGGATTAAGCATAGGGAAGAAACTACAACTGTATTTATTCACCGTTAATGACAAATACCTTAAAATTGACTGGCTCTGATAATGTGACTAATAAAAGAAAAAAATATTTTAATGCCTATGTTGAAATCTGTAATTTAAATGAAGCTGTGCTGTTATTTTCTTTTACACCTCTGCATATGTCAAGTTTATTTATGTCGCTACAGTTTTAAGAACTGGGTTAAGTCAAAGGGGAGAATCCCCAGGACCTTGTTCCTGACAGAATACGGGCAAGTGTCTGTAGACAGATTCTTGTATTACCTGAAAGATCAGAGGAGAGTAGAAGAGGGGTAGGTGTGAGTGACCCGTCTATAGAATATCAAGGGGGAAATAATCACATTCTATAATAACATTAGTGGTACAAGTGATTTATTTTATCAGATAGTTTTTTACATTCTAGTGTACAATTAGGCTTTTGGTGTTTTAGCCAAGCCCTCTGGGGAAAGTTTCAGGAAAGTTCTACCTCTCAGACCTGTACACCAACTCAAGGAGACATGGCTGAGGGTAGGGGTTGTTATTGCATAGTTTCTGGTGATGGATAGCTTTTCTGTCAATTTCCCATCAAGAATAATTATATTAGTTAAGTCATTTAGGTTGTGCAGTTGGAGTATATTTTCAGTGTAACTGGGAGGAGATGAAATTAAACAAAGACGCCACTTGATAACAACAAACTTTCTCTCTCAGATTAAGAATTTATTTTCAAAATTCACTTTGTGACTTTTTTTCCCCAGACTGAATGTTCTATGGAATAGCCCAACACAATGCAAAACTATAGGAGACATAATATGACATGACACCAACAATACAAGAAGTTTCTATCTTCTCTAAAAGTTGCTCCATTAAATGGAGGTGTCATTTGCAAAGAGTCATTTGTGTCAATTCTGTGAGAGGCGTTCACATATTAATTCCCAAAGCTTAGCAGAGGGGTGGAAGCAGGAAGATGAGGGAAAGACCCTGGTTCTATTTACATTGTTAAAGATTGAGTCCATGTTTTGAAAGCACACACACTTCTCCTGAGTTCTTATGTCAACTTTTGAAGAACAAAGTTGAAATTCCAACACTTTTTCAAACCACACAATTGACATTTTAAGCCTTTGTAGGCTTGACTACCTCATGATAGGAGTGTTCATCTTATTTTTAAAAAAATAATTTTTACATAATGTCAATTAGGAGTTAAAATATTATAAAGTCGTAGGAAATATGTTAACAGTATTAATTATGTGTGCTAATACAAGTGTCTCTTGCCTTTGTTGTTTAAATATATCAAGTCAAATTAGTTTTGCATGCTGCGTTTGCTGATTAGAATGTCTTTATATATGTTTACGATTACTTTCTCTGAGCACATAGTCTGAATTACTTTACGGTATTTTTCAAGCTCATATATATAATTTTTGACTCAGTGTTCTATATCATTGTTTTCATTGTGTAAGTTCTAGAAAATCAAATGCTTATTTTAAAGTATTTTTAATAATAGGAATAAGAAGTGGAAATGACCTAAGGGATTATCTTGTCTAACTTTTTAATTTTAAAGATATAAACGAAACAAGTTCCAGGAAAATAAAGTTCATCACTTGCTTACGCTCATATGATCTGTTAGAGGTGGCACCCCAGAGTCTTAATTCCAATCTAATCCTCTCTCTTCTACGCCACATTCATTGAATTACCTTTTTTTCATTTGGGGTCTGAGATGAGTTTCAGATTATTTTAGGTAGAAGTTGTGTGTAGTAGAGCTTTTGTTTTCCCTCCTTGAAGCCTAATACATTTTACTTCCCCACTCAGTTTTTAATTTATTTAGAAACCCTCATACATTTACTCCGTTGTCTTTTTGGGTGCAAGAACCATGAGCTGTGTGGAATCATTTCAACAGGGAAATATCACCAGTTCACCAGGACTTATTAAAAGAGTATCCTATAGGCCGGCCCCTCACAGAAATGCCATAATGGTGGAAAATGTTACAATTTCCATCATATCTGCAACTTCAACAAAAGAGGCACACACATGATTTGCTTCCTATGCCCAGAGACTCTTGTCCTCTATACACTCTTTCCTAGATTTAGCAAAATTCAGTGATGATACTAAATCAAATTCTGTTTTCCAACTTTCAAGGGAGAAAACACTGGCAGAATTGTGTTTTCTGGGGAAAACTGTGTGTAAATGAGAAACAGAGGAGAGCCGCAGAGTGATCTCCTGTGGCCCGGCTCCTACAAGCTCTCCCCATCTTGTCTGCTGCTTTTATATTAATTACAAGTTGCATTATCAGCTGTGAGTCTGTAGCCCAGCAAATAGAAAATACTGCCCCTGGAGACCTAGCTTCTTGTATCTATTTCCATCTCCTTCTATTGTGCGCCACTCAGTATTCACGGCTTTTCTCCTGCTAACACTGCTCTTTAACGCAATTACATAAGAGCAAGAAGAGTACCATATTTGACTCCCAATTATTAAAGCCACTGGGAATAGAAACATGTTCACTCCTTGCCCTTGGGTGTCTTTACGACACTTTTGGCTGAAGAACACGACATATACTGTGGAATGCATATACCTGAATAGTCGCCCATATGCATGCACCCGAAGAGCATTTCTCTTTATTTTGCTACATACATCACGTGTTTTACATGCTTTCATATGCCACTTTGGTTTCAAGATTCACTAAACTTCTGCATATAATTTGGCAGAAAGCCAGGCCATTATTCTTGAAGGATGTAAACTTGGAAACTATCTAGGGAGGGAAGAGAAGAAGAAAGGAGTTGTGATATAAACAAATATTTCAATTTAAGAAAAAAACAACAACGGTGTTATGGGTAACGGGTTCTATTTTATCTGTCCATGTAGGTTATACTTTTGTATGACCAAGGAGGTAACACTTTTTTATTGACCAGGTTATCAATATTTGTCTTTGTACATGATCACGTACGTCACAGTGGTGTAGCTGATCCTGGACACCTTGGGGTAACTCCTCAGCCTTGAAACCCCAGAGGGAGTTTTCTGCTTTTCCTACTTTCAAGTTAGATGGCTATCCTGGTACTGAGCAGTTTGTGTCAGTCTCTCAAACTAGATCATAAGACTTGAGACATTCCGTGGAAATAAACATGACCCTTTATTAGGCGAGCATGTTGGAGGATCTAAGGGAGCTAAGAGGGAAGAGACAGGGGTGCGGTGGGTTTGAGAGTGAACTTGAGCCAATTTCAGGTCTGGGCTGACAACCAAAGACCCAACTCCTTTGGAAGAATCAGCTGCTCTTAAAGTAATATTTGCTTATGTGGCTTATTTTTTACCCCTTTACCTTAGAAAACACGTCCTCCAGAAAACCATTGAAAAAAATAAACTGAATTACAAATTAATGAGGCCTGACTTTAAAACTCAGTGCAGGGTTGACTGATAGGGACCAACCAGAATTTTCAGTTGCAGGACGTTTTTCTGGGGTGATCCCTTCAAATCACTATAGTGCCCCAACAGAAAGCCTCCCTTTAGCTTCATTTGAACGATTACGTAATGGCTATTGGATGACATTTGCCTTAAAACATAGTTGAGGTGTTAGTGGTTAATTATTGTAATTTTCATGAGGGGTAAGGAGCTTTTATAGCAGCCAGCTTAATAAAAAGCCTGCAGTGCATAAAATTAACATCACTTGCTGTGTACACTGAAAAGTTTAGCTTAGGTGAATGTGTCGCAGCAATTGCATTTTCTAAAAGAAGCCTCTAGCGAGTGTTGTTGCAAGATGAAACTCACGCCATGCTATATTGTTTCTTTCTTTCTTGTTCGTGTAATTCTTCTAGCTCTTTATCTGAGTCCCATCCAGCAAACAGCTGACGGTCGCGAAGAGGCTGCAAAGCTTAAAGAGCCCCTGTGTTCTCTTTGCCTTTAGGTTGAAACTGTTGGAGTGGTTTCTAACTCAGATCAAAAGAGAGGTGGCAGGCACGACTTTGTCTTAATACAGGCAGCAGAGATCCTTGGTTTCCATTTAATTCTACTCAGCTTCACTCCCTGCTCTACTTTCTGAAACATATTTTTATTTTAGAGCTCTATACCTTTTATTTTAGAGCTGTATTTACAATCACAGAATTTCTGCTTAGGGTTTTCACTTTGAATCAGTTGCATGCCTGATGGTAATGCCACTAGCATTATTTGATGTAGATGTTATTAATCTATAGAGCTCTGGATAATTTCATCACCTATCAAAAATGCTAAATATTAATGTACAAGTCAGTTTGTAGCAGATCCGTAGAGGAAAAACATCAGGGTTTTTGTTTTTGTTTTCTTCGGTTGTTCACATAAGAATAGTCCCCTATTTTGTCTCACCTTGGTTTATTGATTTTATTTTGGTAAAGTTTTGTGTTCTATATACATTATAGAGTTGATATTGGGAAGAATAATAGCCTGATTTTTTTTTTCCTGGTAAACTATATGTAATGATAACACAGCAAGATTGCTTTCAGATGGTCAAGATGTTTGCATGTCGCCTACAGGCATGTCAGTTTGTCTGAATCTTTAGTTACCAATCCTTGTAAGAAGAAATAAATGTGGACTTGGAGAGATTGATGTTGTTTTTTTAAAATGTTTCCCCCAAAGAATTTGCTTGCCGGTAGGTCTGCGGGCTTAGCTGAAGTCATCGCATACAGGTGACCAGTGTACAGCTCTGGCCTTAAGGCTGGTCTGCTTCATGGGCTGTTCCTCCTCTCCGTTTCTGCCAGAGGAAATTCCATCCCTTGCCTGCCTTCATGTGGTGCTGATAAAGTCCTTCCTGTACATTAGAATTCCTGTTTTCCTTTAAGCAACAGCAGGGTATTGGGAATGATCAGGAAAGGGGAGGAGGAACAGGAGAAGAATACGCTCAGCAAAGGAGCACGAGCTGTAACTCTCAGTTTGCCCCGCTGTGTCCTTGGAAACAAGTCGTTCTTCTAGGAAAAGGCACTGCTCTGTGAATTTAAAGCTTCCGTGGAGCTCACGTGCAAGTCCTGTCTGGTTTATTAGATGGCTAACAGTTCGTAGGTGTTTCTTGGTGGTGGTGGTTGTTGTTTGTGCAAATTAAAGCAAACTTGATCATGTATTAGGTATTGATGCAGTGATTAATATTACTGTGTGTATTGGTTGTATGATAATTCTGAGAGTTCATGCAGGCTGTGCATTAGGGCAATGCATTTGAAAGGCGTGAGGGGCTGTGTCATACATTCCTGAGTCTGTGGGTACTTTCTTTTAAGGGAGTCACTGAGTTTTGTAGATGTTAATATTCTGAAGTATTTAGTAACCAAGAGCATTGGGAGCTATTTCTTGGAAGAGTGCACCCCAATTAAGATGGCAAGATGAAAAATGACTTAGATTTTTAAGTAAGCTTTTTCCCTAACTTTAAAAATTTTAACTTTATTGAGGCATAATTTGTGTATAATAGAATTGTCCCATTTTAAGTGTGTATTTCAATTAGTTTTAACACATGTATACACTGACATAGCCATCAGCTCATCAAGGTTCTAGAACATCTGTTTCTTCTTTTTGATACCTATTGCTGAAAAGACAACGTACTCTATAGTGTGGCACCTATATAGGCCTAGTTCCACAAATACTAATATGCACACATTTTTTTGTCTCTCCCTGCACCTTTCCTCTTGGTTCCTGATTTATGGCTGAAATGGTAACTGTGGAAAAATCCCTTGGAATCCTGACATCAGAATCCGGCATCTTGGCGAGATCACGATGATGCAACCTCCACCCACTCGGCAGGCACCCCCGGGCCCTCCAGCGGGGGTCACGCGTCCCAGAGTGGAGACAACAGCAGTGAGCAAGGTAAAAGGTCAAGCATTTTCCTCGTGCAAAGTAGTCATGACTAAAATAACTTCAGTATTTTATATCATCGGTGCATTCTGCCTCCCTGTGAACAGGAGAGGGGCAGGTTAGGGAGCATAATCGGCTTCAATTTAGGCAGACAGTGCTTCCTCTCCTTCACTTCCATTACTTAAAAACATCAAAGTGAGATGTCTAGTCTTTAAGTAGGCATTACACTAACAATTGATTAGTTCTGCCAATTCTTGTACAAATTTGGTTATCTACACTTCTGTGTGTGAGAGTAGGTAGAATGACAGGTCTCCTTTGCAGCTATGACGCAGTAGTTTGAATTCCACTATAGACAGGATATTTTGTTTGTAATGTCCACTAGGAGCGTTCTCTATAATCAAGCAGTGATGCCTCTAAAGCACACAAGATGCAAAAATCTGTTCTTTTTTTAGCTCTGGAAGCACTGGACGAATTATACATGAAATCTTCTCTTGAGAAGACAGATTTTGAAATTCTTAGAAGGTTATTTGTTTCCTTTCAGCAGACATGGTGACTTTTGTCACAAGCCCTAAAAATAAGAATAATCAGAGGGCAAGGGGGATGTCAACTGCAGATGACAAGGAAGCTTAGTGTAATTTAGAATAAATTTTATCATTTAAAACTCACCTATTGCACAGAAAGCAATTACATATTGGTAGGGATGACTCTTCTATGGCTAAAATGATTATTTAAAGGAAGATGCATTATTGAATGTGGGCCAGGAAAGTGTATAGATTTTACTTTTTAATATTTTACATTAGATGGTGTCTGATCTCCTAGGTCTATTTCATCTCTATTATGACTGTGTTTATGGCCACAATATTTAAGTATTAGACAGTCTTCCAAGTAGAGGACAGTTTAACAGCTTGATCTGTAGTCATATATGCCATTTAAAAGAAGGTGGTTGATATAGGATGAGTGCCTTCACTCCTCCAAGTTTCTGGCTGTGGATTTTGGATTCCTGGTATTCAAGAAGAGTCTAGGGAAATGTCCCTTCTAGGATGCCATTAACTTGTGAGTGGGTCCAGATTAGAATGTAAGTTTAAGGAAGTTGCAGCTGACACAGAAATGAATACTATCGGATGGTAAATTGTGGAAGAATTTGTGAATCATACCTACTGAGGTTTTATATACTGTTTTTCTTAGACCAGTTTGACTGTATATAAGACAACTAAACCATAAGGCATTTTGAAGATGACATGTACATAAATTCAATGGATCTGTAATGCAATGGCTTAATTGTAGTTTGATGTCACGGTGATGGACTGACTTCTCAGCGTGGTTAAATCTGGAAAGCTTCTATAACGCCCCTTTCTGTACCACTCCAATTGCCTCGACATAAAGGGTGAAATGTAACTATTAATAAAAACAAAACACTGTAAACACTGTACAAAAGAAGGGAAAAGAAGAAGCAGACTTAGTGGTCTAATGAGGCTATCTCCCAAAGACTTGTTGTGTGTGAGGCTCGCTTTGACCTTTCACTTTGCTCAGGAGCCCAGCGCTTCATTTTTCACATTCTTGCAATTACGTTAACGCTTCAAGCATTTCTGACTCCAAGTCAGCTAGCAACACCAGGCATAACTCAACACTGTGAGTTTTTCTCCTCTCTGTAGATTCATTAACAGGTCACCAAGGTCCCAACTGAAATTTAAAACTGACTGGTTCTGTTGGGTTGGTTGAGTTATGGCAAGGGAGATAGCAGGAAGGGACCAGAGAAAAGGGGAGGGCGAGAGAGAAGACCCTGGGGTTTGGCGCAGGGAATAGTCCCAGCCACAGGCAAGGCGTGGAGTTTTATCATTTTGTTCTGTTTGTTGGTTTGCTTGCTTGCATATCTATCTATCTATCTATCTATCTATCTATCTATCTATCTATCTATCTATCATCTATCTATCTATCTATCATCCATCAGGCAAGAAAGAGAAAACCCCTGAGACTGATAAAGTGGGTAAAAACAATATGAACAAACTTCTGTGTTGTGGATAGCCACACCCACTTATCCAATGTTGAAGGATTTGATCCCTGTAGGATTTTGTTCCTTTACTCATATATCTCCCTGGGATTAAAGAATGGACATGGTAGCTTATGTGTATGGGTACCAGGAAGTCAGTCATTTTACTGTATTCACATGTAAGGAACTGAGAAACATTATGATTCCTATAAAATGGAGACTGTGTTGGCATGGACAGTTTCTTACCTGGCGTCCCATATCAGTGGTTCCAAAACACTTGTTTAAGGGTATGCTGTTTTTGTTTTTTTTTTAACAGCAGACTCTAAATTTTGAGGGGCAGACTCGAGTGTATTTTGTGATACTTGTGCCCATATTAGCCTTTTAAACATGTTTTCAAGCTATTCTGATATTTTGTCCCACGGAGTTGTCCAGAGTAGCTTTCTGTGGGAAAGATTAATTATCTGCTTCGGGGCAAAGTCAACAGAGATATTGACTGAAATCACATATGCTTATCCTAGGTTAAATCTTAGGGTTGACATATAATGGAAGACCTAAGAGGGAAATTTATGTTCTTAGTATTATACAATTATCATGTTTCACTGGAAATCAAGTTTGTAGTTTAGAAAAGAGTTTTCTTGCTTCTTCAGAATTTATTAGCACAACAGGCATATGGAAAACTGTAAAATGATTCAGTTTCAAAACAAATTATGATAAACAGAAAAAATAGGGATGAATTGTACTAAATACAGTGTTTTCATACACATTTTAAATTAAACTTTAATAGCCATATGCTATAAAACAATACATGCATTTATATTGCTTTATAATTTTTGTGACTATTTTAGCTAAAATGATTCATACAAATTTTTACTTTGGAACATAAAAATACCTCATTTTATGACTTGATAGGAAACAAGCTACAGTTACACAGGTGAAAGGTCATTTTTTTTCTTCCATAGTGTTTGTGCAGCAAACTGAAAGGAGGAAAAAAAAATCAAATTTTCAAAATCTTGTAAGAAGCAAACTTGGTAAAATATAAAATGTGACTCTACTGTATCTTTCAAACAGCACATGCCTAGCAGTAAACTATAGAAATATGAACCAGACTTTCATTCACTCTGATTTCTTTGGCTAAAAGCAGCCAAAGGGAGGGAGTGTGTCTTGTTTGTCATATTAGAATGAAGAAAGAAATTTGGTTTTGCGGGGCTAGAATTAGGGTGCAGACTCAGGGCTCTGGGGAAGTAACTGGCCCTCTTTGTGTCTAGCTTCCTATCAGTAAAATGGGGCTTGATAATAAGGCTTGGGGTCCCTAATTCTGTACCTGCTGAGTCAAAAGCTGCTTTGTATTTCATTGTGTATTTTGCCAGGGTAAAGACTAGGAAGCAGCCCCCCTGTTCACAGAGCACTTTGAGAGCCTTAGATGAAAGGCACAATATATGTACAAAGTATTATTATTATTGATGGGTTTGTGTAACTCCCATTAGCGCTGATGGGAGTTACGCATGTGAATTGGCAAGAGAATAGACCCCTCAGTGTTTAGAGCACATGAAATTTACATTTTTTCCAGTGCTGTAATTGAGATGTTGACAAATTGGAGAATATTGATGAGCCTTTGTTTTAAGTATTTCGTGCCAAGTTTGTTTTATTTTTCCTGGTTTGAACAATGGTATGGGTTCAGCAGCAATGAATAAAAAGGGTAGAGTAAAGATAACTTTGTATTTCAATATTTTGATGTGCCAATATGAAATGAATTGTCTTAGGCAAATGGAATATGCTGTTTTAATCATTAGCTATGCATGAAAGAAAAATTGATGTTGACATCTTTGCTGTAAAATCGTTGTAATGGGGCCTTCCTTACAATTCATTTTTGTAAAATTCATTTTGTACATTTTGCAGCAATTGAACAATCCCTGCACTGTGAATAGGCAGGATTCCCAGAAATACCGAGACAGTTGGCCCAGTAACTGCTGAGCTCACACTGCACACCACACGCACGTTAACCATACTGTTGCCAGACCCAGCTTAACCTAAATACTGTAGCCTTCTAGCATCTATACGTCTTTAATCTTTCAGGGCACCGCGCTGTACACGCCAACATGGTTCCTCCCAACTCGGCCACCTACCAAACCTCTCCATTGATCTCCATCACCCAGGCAATGAGACTAGAATTCTATTGCTGGATATTTATTTACTTATTATACAGTTCTTTAGCAGTCATGGTGTGGAAGCCTAAAAATACCCCCTTTATTATGGATATAAGTATTTATAGATAAGCAAGCATCTAACATAGTCTTATGCTTTTGAGTTTATAACCCACACTATAGTTATAAAACAGTATTCTCCTCCACCAAAATAGTCCAGTTATATATTTAAAGGAGGGGGGGGAAAATCTCAAACCCACTCATGGTGGGTCCCGAATATGTTCTACTGGGATTTCTTATTCAGTCTAGGAAAACTCTTGTCAATGGAATGTTTTCATAGTGGCGGCAATCTCTTTAAAATAACCCTAAATACAATATGACAGATGCCATCTGGCATAATCTTTTGCTAGTTGCTTTTAACTTTTATTTTTCCTAGAGCTGAGTTCATCCAAAACTGGTCACTTACTCTTATGATAAATATAATGACATTTCTTTTCCTTCCTGTCCTCCTAATTGTATCAAAAATTCTCTGAGAATATAATTGATAATTGGACATTGTCACAGAAGAAGCTGCTGTATATAGAATATTTGTGTGGCATTTTCAGTCCCTCCCCCGCAATAAAGTCAAAATGTATACATACCATCCTTTAACCATCAGTAAACATCCAGATAATTTCTGTTGATTTTCTCAGGACTTTTTAGAATAGTAACCATTAGAAATAAAATGAAACTCTTCTAATAAATAAATTCTCTAGGAGCATGTAATGGTGCCCATAAATGCTTAAAAGCTTTCTATAATTGCTGTTAATTTTGAGTAATTTCTTCCTATATGTATCAACTTACTTGAAAAACCAGAGCTGGGATTTCTAGATTTTTTTTTTAAC